CCCCAGCACCACATGCCATCCAGCCCCGCCCCCTGTTGGGCTGAGCTGGCCACACACACACACACACACACACACACACACACACAAATATATAAAATTAAAAAAAAAAAAAGACCCATCTTGGAAAGCTTGGGTTGGAGGAAAGCAGCCTGCTGAGTTAACCCTTCCTTGCCCAGTGATTATAAAGAATAAATGAATTAATACATAATTTAAAATACATTTTGGCACAGAGCATTGTGTAGCACACGTGAGGAGGGAATAATGTCAAGAAGTAACTCTTTCTACTGGAGCTCAAGGGCCTGAATGAGGCCAGAAATAAGAAAGAAATGTGCTTTGGTGACCTTGTAGTGATAAGTTGGTAAGATGGGCATTCTAGGGCTTTGAGTATTAGATCTATGAATAGTTTGTATGTTTCCTACAAAACAGCACCTCCTGACGTTTTGTTCATTTATCATTTGCAGAGCCCTGAAACCAACAAAATAATCATCGAAGAGAGGAAGAGTTGAGAGATACAACTTAAATCAGGTATGGAAGCCAGGCTTAGTAATTAACATACTGCATGTGTTAAGACTGACAGGACAAATTGCAACCTTTTTTTCCCTATTATTAGCACAATATTTTACAATCATATGAGTTTGGTATCTTAGTGTGTGTGTGACTTGCTGCTACAGGAAACTGTTCATATCCTAAAGAAAAATTGACTTCTATGTGTAATTTGAGCCAGTTGTGAGAGCTTCAGTTAGACCTAGACAGAAATTTGAAATAATTAAAATATTAGTCATTATTAAACTATCACATATTCATAAAAGATCTGCTACATGGGAAACTCACCCAAGAAATTATTTTATATAATTGGATAAAATAGGCATAATCCCAAATAGGCATAATCTTTATGGTGCCTGAATTCCAGACAAAGGAAAAACCACAAAAACTATTGTTCACATCTCAACTAATTTGACTCCTTTATAAAAATGTCAGTTCTTGATTTTTAAAATTCTTATAACTTTGGGTCCTTAAAAAGTCTTAGAATGATATAAATGAGGTTAATACATAGTTTAGTACTATGAGGAATGACACCACATCCTATAAAACGTGGAGATTTTGTTCTCACAGCAGACAGCAGATTAGGAACCCAGGGTATTTGAGTTCACTTATCCTCATTCCAGAAGAAAGATTTTCAGCATACATGCTAGAAAGGACATTGACATTCTTAGACCAATTCAGCATCATACAATTAAATTGGCTATATTTAAATAGAAGAAGAAAAATTATGAGGGATTTCAAAACTTAAAAACAAAGAGCTTTGTTTTTTCCTGAGAAAACAAAAGACAGCTGCCTTTTAATTACTCCTGTGCCCATTTGCTTTCTACCAGAGATGTGTTTCAAGTTTGGAATCTAATTAGAAATCTTAACTGAAAATGGCCTTCTTAAAAAGGCAAAAGATTTATATGATCTGAAGAGAAACCAGAGTATGAAAATGGCCTTTTTTGGAAAAGGAAAAAAAAATCTAAACTGAAGCATAAATTTAGACAGGAAAACAGAATTGATAACATTCTAGCCAGATTGAAAATCTCCTGGCCTCTGGGGAACTTCCTATCTGGCTTACAATTGGACTTACAGGTTTGTCTTTCAAGAGAAATTTCATCAATCAAATGAAGAGACTTTCAAACTCTCTAAATTATAATTTTCTCCTCAGTATAAGAACAATTGTTTCTGTGGTCTTGTGGCTGAGATCCAGTACCTGGTACATGGCAAGCAAGCACTCTTCCACCGAGCTACATCCCCAGCCCAAAATAATGTTTTTAAAAGCGTAAAGCATGGGGTGAATGCTAGCACACTGTCTTACTTTTAATGTAATTCAGGACAAATTTTGTAAGTGGGCTTACTCTCAGTTCATTCATCTTTAAGATGGCATTTGCAAATCTCATTGTTCAACATGATTTCTGTCTTATTTCTCTCCTGACTTAGACACTGAGTGGTGTGTAGTAGCATGTGTAGATACACAACATTGTATTCTAGAAACAGAGCATAGAGAGAAAAGTAAAACAAAGGAGGCTTTCAGAATAGATGTTGTAATAATTAGCACACAATATTGCAAATAAAAACACTGAGGAAATGCTTATTGCTTTTGTGCTCTGGAGGCAAAAACTCAAAGGCAGATTACTTAAGCCTTTTATTCAAACTATATAGTTCTTGTATGTGTTCTAGATTCTGCTTTTTCAGATGATAAAATGCCTAGAGCCAATGCAATATATTATTTCTGAATTATGCCTAACATTTTGCATGATGGTACCATGCATGACATATGTTTAATTAATATTTGATTGATTGAGTATGGCTATGAACTAAGAATGCCAGTAAATACATAACCCAAATTGTCATCTCCTATGGTTTATAAACATTATATCTAGTATCAGAGCAAGAGTGGTCATGCTTTCCTGTGAAACATTACAGTCAGTGAGAGTATGGGGGTGTCTTGGTTCACAAAGTCAATTCTCTGATTCTGATGGCAAACTAAACTGGATGAGAACCCAATGAAATTCCCTATAAAATCCACACTGAGCTTTACCACTGAATTTGATTCAATGCTCATCCAACCCACTTTGCAATGAAATCATGGAGAGAATCAAGTTTGTAAACCAAGGCACCCCTGTGCGTTCACTCCCCATGCCCTCCATTCTCTCCTCCCACCAGATTGACCAATTTACGGAAATTCCATGTGGTTAGCTTTTTATCTTTGTTTGCACTCTTAATATTATATTCTTCAATATTCTCTTCTGTTTCCTTTCCCGTTGCTCTTCCTTCCACACTTATTTTCTTTTATCCCTTGTCTCTTTCCTTTTCTTTGCTTCCATCCATCCTCAAACTTTTATCTACAACCTTCTGCATTCATATCAAATACCTTAAAGAAGGATTCTTACATACAGTATTTACTATGAGAACTATCTTACTGCCTTTGCTATTTTGCTTGTTTTTAGGCACTATCTCTTGTTTCCCATTGGTGGAAACTGAATTTGACAGAGACTTAGTGAAAGTCAAACCACATAATATGTTAATGACTCTCCCCTCCCATCCTCTTCTCCCTCCTAGGGCCCACTGCTGTAAAGGCACAGCAGCCTCCGCCAAGGTGGTAGCTTACTTCCACGCCAGTGTCTGTTTCTAGAGGAATAAATGCAGCACCAGTCTGTGACAGCTCCTGGATGCAAACCCATCAACCTCCTGAGTCAAGAGCGCTCTCTAATTGGCTCCTCAGTTCTGGTTTCTATAACTCAGTGCATCAGAAGCCAGGCTCCATAGCTCAGTGTTCTAGATGCCTCAATTCCCAGAATAGGGTCCTCCTTCCTTTCACTGTCAGCCTTTCTTATTTTGGACATTCCTCATGATTTGTGATGTGGATATACTTATGATACTGAAAACTGCCTTGGGGCTGGGAGAGAGCTCAGTAGAATAAGTGCTTGCCTGGCAAGCACAAGGACCTGAGTTCAATCCCCAGGTCCACCAAAAACAAAAAAACTGTGCCTTCACAGGAGGGACACTGCTTCCCTATCACCATTGCAACTCCAAGTTAGCCCCTTATTTGGGATGTGTATTCAGCTCAATCTTAAGTATGCTGGAGACTGGCTCAGTAGTAGAGCACTTGCCTAGCCTGTGTGAGTCCTTGGGTCCCCAGATCCGCCAAGCCAAATCAAACCAAACATATCACACCTGATCCAACTCATGAGTAGATAAAGTTTTGGTGATTTAATTTCTTTCTTTTCTTTTTTTTTTTTTTTTTTATATTTTAGAGAAGGGTCTACAGAGTGTTCAGAGTCTCACTACTAGATCAGACTCATAGTGATCCTCCTGTTTACAGCCTCCCAAGAGCTGAGATTACAGGCACGCGCCACCATGCCCAGGCTCACTTGCCATCTCAGGGCGCCCTCGGTGCGGGGCCAGCATGGCAGGCCCAGGGATCAAACCCCCAGCCTCTGTGCCTACTTGCAGGCGCTTTAATCCACTGAGCTATTTGGCCAGCCCACTAATTTCTTAACTTCATCAAAGATGGGCCATTATCTCAGTCCCTGAACATCCTCCTTTATTCCCTTATCAAATGGGTTTCTGCCTGTGTTTTTTAACTATCTCGTTGTATCTTTTAATTGAATTAATATTATTTGGTGTCAAAATTACACTTCTAGGCCATTGGCTACTTGTTAGATCATATTATAATATAAATAATTAAAGTGAATCATACTATAATATTTACTGACTACTTCTAAAATATTGTGTGTCTTTATCCATTGTGTAAACATTTATGTACAGTAAACTTTGTATGTTTGATGTAATCTTGTTTTTCACAGACGCAAGAAGTTATGCAACCATTGGCCCCAGTTATCCCCTTATGGGCAACCTCTCTCTCCTATTTCATGCTTTTAGAAACCCCTACTTTGTTTCTACCTGTATAATTATGCCTCTTCTACTGATGCTGCATCAGTAGAATTGTATGGTACAAAGCCTTCTAAAGTCGCCTCCTACACATCGTGCTTGCTTCTTACCCATGGTTTGGTTATGAGAATTTAGTCATTTTTATAGTTCAGTAGCATTTCATTTAGCAGACATTACTCGCTCTGTGTGTATGTGTGTGTGTGTGTGTGTGTGTGTGTGTGTGTGTGTGTTAAACAATTTGACAATCTTTTGGGTTGTTTGAATTTGTCTGATTTTTTTTTTTTTTGGCAGAGTTCTTAGAATGTATTTTTGTTCACCTGAAAAATAAAACTTTTAAAAAATATACAGGACTTTTTGAATACAAGTATACCTTGAATGGCTGAATTATAAATAACATCTCTGGTCATGTTCCCAACTAGGACTGGAGCAAATGTCCCAATTCCAGTGAAGGTTTTAGAGTCAGGAGGCCAGCTGGACCCACTAGTGGGCTCCCTGGGCTCTTTGATCCATCCCAAAGTGGCTTGAAAGAGTCCAGAAAGCTGGGATCACAAAGGGGTGGGGTGGGGGGACCTGAACTGGATATTTTCCTGCAAGTCTAAAAGGATTCTTGGAATAAGAGATCAATTTACAAATTATTAAAATATAGCATTATAAATTCACACAATAAATATAAATTATAGGCTATTATTGAAGTTATTTTTATTTTATTTTATTATTTTTTTTTTTTTGCAGAACCAGGGATTGAACTCAGGCCCTTCCCCTTGCCAGGCAAGTGCTTATTCTACTGAGCTATCTCCCTGGCCCCTATTATTGAAGTTATAATGTAGCATTTCAGTTTTTCCCTGTCTCTCACCAAAAATTTAAAAGGTCTCATGGGCTTCCTGATGACTGAAGTCCTAGTCTAAGAAACACCCTCTAAGTCCAGAGACCTGGGGGTATCACCAGCCTACTGGTAGGCTGTGCCAGCTCAGTTGCTATTTTCTTGGCCACCACAGGACATGGCTTAAAGCAAGGCTGTTGTCCTATAAATTTGGGTCAGGGCTAAATAGAATGCAGGCCAGAAAACTGGAAAAACAAAGTGTTTCAGGACCCTGGTGCATTTG